TTTTTTGAGACAGGGTCTCTTTGTAGCCCCAGCTGTCCTGGAACTCACTATGTAGACTAGGCTGGCCTTGAACTCACAGAGATCCACCTGCCTCTGCCTCCTGAGTGCTAAGATTAAAAGCGTGTGCCACCACGCCCAGCTATTTTTTTATTTTATGTGTATGAGTGTATTGCCTGCATGTAGGTAGATGCACCCGAGTTGTGCAGTGCCTGAGGAGGTCAGAAGAGGGTGTCAGATTCCCTGAAACTAGAGTTATAGACAGTTGCTAGCTAGCATGTGGGTACTGGGAATCGACCCTGGCTCCTCTGCAAGAACAGCCAGTGCTCTTAACTACTGAGCCATCTCTCCAGCCCAATAATTGCTTTTAAAAAGGAGATCAGTGTTTGCAAAAGGGGCATAATATTAAAAGAATGTGGCTTTCTTTAATTTGAAAATTAATAAGATATATATTTTGTTGTTTTTAATTAAATGATGCTTAAATCTTTTGGATTTATAGGCCTTTGTTTTTGAGGTAACCTAGAAATAAAATGTTTAGTTATGTTCAAGTTCTTTTTTTTCCATTTATTTATTTACTTTTTTATTTGTGTGGGCAGGTGTGTGCCACAGAGCACATGTGCAGGTCAGAGGACCACTTTCAGGAGTTGGTTCTTTTCTTCCACCACATGAGTCCTGTGGATCTAACTCACATTGCTAGGATTGGTGGCAAGTGTCCTTACCTACTGAACCATTTCACTTCCCTCCCAAGTATTTATTTAATGAAAAACACTTTATTAATTTGGAATGGGAGCATATATATAAAGTTGTAAATCTCTAAATGTCAGAGACTTTTGTAAGAATTTTCATGAAGTTTTATGTGACTTAAGTCAATCTTGGATGACCTTGGCATAAGGTCTAAAAGAAGAAAGGCATGAAATATTGTCCTTTACATCTACCTTCAAATTATTTTGAGACAGGTTTTCATTATGTAGCTCAGGCTGGCCTCAAATGCATAGTCCTGCCGCAGCCTCCCAAGGGATTACAGATCTGTGTCACCATGCCTAGCTTCAAACTAATTTTTTAAAATTTTAGTTTAATTTTATGTTTGTCTGCATATATGTAAGCATACCCATGCATGCGATCAATGCTCATGGAGGCCAGAAGAGGGCGTCAGATCCCCTGGAACTGGAGTTCCAGCTGATACAGGTAGTGGAACTGAACCCCACTCTTTTGCAAAAACAGCCAGTGCTCTAACAGCTGAGCCAGTCCCACCTTCAAACTTTTTTAAAGAAAAATTGGAAGTCTTAAGTAGGAGCACAGTAGATACAGGAGAGCAGGAGAAAGTAGAGCCTCATTTGAAATCAGTGAGTGGCAGGAGACGCAGTCTGGTTTCCCTTCTTATGGCCCCTAATGGGCTTTATGGAATCTTCTTTTCTTGACTCTCAATGCTATTTCTTTTTTTAAAATTATTTTTTATTGCTTGAGAATTTCAAAAGTGCATATGATGTGTTCTGATCAAGTATGCCTCATCCCTCCCCCAATCCCTTGTATATCCCCCCACCACTATTCCCTCTTAATTGCATGTGCTCTATTTTTTTTAACCCCACAGCATCCACTTAGTGCTGCTTGTATGCACACTGGCATATAGTCATATTCAGGAGCATCACTAACCTCTCAGGGGCTGCATCCCTGAAAAACACTGACTTTCCTTTTCCCAGAAACCATCAATTGCCAAGTCCCTCAGCTGGAGTGGGACTTTGTGACCCCATGCTCACTGACCTAGGACACTTTTTCTTAGTGAAGGACTCAAGTGGATAGACCCCAGGTTGAGAATGGGAGATGCTCTAGCTCCTAGGTCCTCATCTGTCAACTTTCATCTGTCACCAAGTTGTGATAATGCTATACTCCCGAGTTTTAACTTCCTTTGTTCCTAGTCCTGTCTTTTATTTGTTAATGCTATTATTCCCATGCTCACTGACCTAGGACACTTTTTCTTAGTGAAGGACTCAAGTGGATAGACCCCAGGTTGAGAATGGGAGATGCTCTAGCTCCTAGGTCCTCATCTGTCAACTTTCATCTGTCACCAAGTTGTGATAATGCTATACTCCCAAGTTTTAACTTCCTTTGTTCCTAGTCCTGGCTTTTATTTGTTAATGCTATTATCGTCATCATTGCCAGCATCATTTTGAGACAGGATCTCATCTATCCCAAGATGGTCTTGATCAATGACTGGGGATGACCGTGAACTTCAGACCCTCCTACCTCCACCTCCCAAGTGCACGACATCTGGTTTGTGCTGGGGATCAGACCTAAGGCCCAGTGCATGCTAAGCAGGCACTCTACCAACTGAATGACATCCCCACCCTGACTTGTGTTTTATGTTTTCACTTGTCCATGGCATCACCTGGAGAGGAACAGGAAGGACTTCAGAGAGGACATGAATGCATTTTTCATTTTATTTATCAGCATTCCTTTCCTTTGTTATTGCTATGGGGAAAAACCTGAAAAGTCAGAAGAAAACAGAAGGAAAAATATAAAGGGAAGTGAGGAATGAAGGGGTGCTGGTCTTTTTCACAGTAGTGGGTTGTGTTCATGACAACGGGACATGAAATACTGCTCCAAATTGACTTTGTGTATTTTAAGACGTGGACAATAATTCTTAATTTAGAGATTGTATTTCAGAGGAGGCCTTGGCCTCTGCTAAGTGACTGGTCCCCATCACGTGTGGAACTTTAGGCAGCTTACCTCAGAGAAATAGCTGTCCAGGAAGGCCATGTTCATGCCGGTGTCCTGGTATTCCCGCAGCGTCCCTATGGTTGATCCTCTCTTCCTCAGGGCTCCTGCTGCTGCCCCAGTCACCAGGCCCGCAGCTGTCCCAATACCTGTATTGAGCTCCACTCCTGACACACCCCCTTCCACAGTGCCTCCACCGGCATAGGTGTTGGTGTAGATTTCTGGAAAAACAGGGTGTTCCCATTACAGTGTCGGAGTTGACTGAATGGCTTATGCACACATAAGAATACTGCCAACCCCACCATCACACGGCGCAGAGTAAGTTCTAAAGAACCTCTGATTATACCCAGAATTTCCAGGCTTGATGAGAAAAGTAACTGATACTGAGGGAGATACCTATGGGATGGGGCCCTCTCTCATGTGCATAACTTTCTCTTTTGGATGTAAAGAGGGGAGGAGGGGGGAGGGAAGGACGGAAGGGGATAGGGGGAGGAAGAGACCTGTGCAGGCACAGTACTCTCCAAGCTCTGGCCCACCTGGGAGAGTGCAAGCCATTCCCAGCTTTCCCAAGAAAGGCCCACTCCTAGTCCCTTAGTCCTCATTCAGAATGGCCTTGGCCAGAGTCTACTATGTGCAGGTGCTATTCTAATTATATACAGTGTGACACATGGGAAAATAAAACATGTTATGCCTAACACATGTATGTTTATATATATATGATAGACATTTGTACATATTCTTTTTAAAAAACATTTTTAAAATTATGTGTGTTTGGGGTAGAGGGAGAGGGGAGAGGTATGTGCATATAAGTGCAGGTGCCTGAGGTCAGAAGAGGAAATCAGATCCCCTGGAGCTGGAGTTAAAGGAAATTGTGATCCACTGATGTGGGTACTGGGAACTGAACTTGGGTCCTGGGAACTAAACTTGGGTCCCCTGGAAGAGCAGCACATGCTCCTAACTGCCGAGCCATCTTACCTGCTCCTGTTTATTTCTTACCTCAACACTATGAAGTAGATGTTGTGTTAACCTCCATGCCAAGCAGGAGGTAACCTGGGAAGTAGGGCCTTGCTGAGATTTCTAAGAGGCCGATGCTAGCAACGATGTTCCAGTTCTGGTTACAGAATTTGCCTGTTCAGTTGCTGCATTATACTTGACCTGACTGTAGTGTTAAATGGATAAACTGAGCCACCACTTTACATACATCACTTACCCTCTCACTGTCATGAAAGGAGATTAACATGTATGCCAATTTTCTTAAGATGGTTTAACATGATATTGAATATTTTCATGAATTTTAGAAATGAAACCAGACATTGTTGTCAACTAACCAGAGGAGTCAATGCGATCTTGGGTATTAGAGGCTGTCATGGGTACACATATATTTGACACATCCTGTAAAGAAAAAATATTGTAAAATAAATGTTTCCTGTTAAGCATTTTCCGGCTGAGAGCCATTCATTTTGGCTTGGTATGGATGATCAAGGCATGCTGAATTTCCACTGAACCCCCCTGCTTCCTGGGAGGTCGTGCCCACTCACTCTGTCCTCAGGACGGGCGGAGGCTGTCATGGGTACACATATATTTGACACATCCTGTAAAGAAAAAATATTGTAAAATAAATGTTTCCTGTTAAGCATTTTCCAGCTGAGAGCCATTCATTTTGGCTTGGTATGGATGATCAAGGCATGCTGAATTTCCACTGAATCCCCCTGCTTCCTGGGAGGTCGTGCTCACTCACTCTGTCCTCAGGACGGGCCCCCTCTATTCTCCAGGGCTGCATCACTCCTTCACCTCCCTCTGGCACAGGAGCAAACCTGGTCCCCAGGCCTTCTGGCTGTCTTCGCTTACAGCAACACATAAGCAGCAAAAGAGGGGACACTGGCCAAGAAAGCAGTAAGAGTTAACCTTGGTTGCTTAGTTTAGGAAGTCAAAGAATGTGGCTAGAGCTAGAACCAAAGGATAAAGACAAGAGTAAAAATATCAGACTCTCCCCCTGGGGAATTAGGCGTATGTATTCCCATGTATAAAATACAAACCCATCAAATCATACAGAACCTGAATGTTGGATGCAGGCAGTGGGAGACAATGTCACCCAGGCTCTTCACAGATCGATTTAAAGAAAGGCCCAGTTCTCCCTGGAGTCCAGGACTTTTGAGCCAATTGATGACATATTCAGCATTCCAACCCAGTTCTCTGATTACTAGTCTCCATATACATGCATGTGACTTGCATATGTGTATGTATCCTTTACACCTGCTGTGTATGTAGTCTATGACTACAGTGGTCTCCCATATGAATTCCCAACTTTGCAAGACTGGAGAAATAATGCATGTTCAATAGAAACTACACTTTGAAAACTGAATTTTAACTTCTCCCCAGAGTAAACTACATACTGAGCTTTCACAGCCCAGCTCAAAATCCATTTCTTTTCCTTCCCTCTTTTGAGTTACTTGTTCTTAACTTTTCTACTTTGAAGTATTTCGATAAAGCTTCCACTGTAGGACTTATTTTGTACTTTTCTATGTTATACTTATTTGCATATTTTTTCCCATTTTAGGACCATCACTAGCCATAGCCCCTTGTAGCTATCATCGAAAAGGCACATATTCTTATCAGTTCCAAGATGGCTACAGATACCAGAAAGAAATGGCCAAAAGAACCTACCCATCCTAGTGACACTGGTGGCAGTTCTACTTTTCAAGAGCTGCTGAGAAGAAAGAGTCCCTACAGTACTTACAGAGCAGCAGTAAGAGGCCCAGGACGATCATGCCAATCCCTGCTGGCCCAAGTCTAACATTTGACTGTCTGACTCCGTCGTCAGTGACAGTCCCATAGTTGTCAGTTATCACCCAGCTGGGGTCCCCGGAGTAGACGCCTGTGGTACTTGAGTGGGAGCATATGTGGTAGGTGTCACAGTAGCAGGCTTCCAGCAGCACAATCTGAGGCAATTCGCATGCTCTGTTATGGCTGTCCTTCACCAGGACTGGGATTTGGTAAGATCCAGGAGATAAAGTGTCCTCAGTCATAAGCAGTGCAGAGGTTTCTGAAGAATAAGGGAGCAGACGGAACAGGTGAAGATTCCTTGGGAGCAGCCCTTCCTGTACCCAGAAGACTCAGCTCCTCTCTCCAAGTTCCATATTTTTAAGTCCAGAGTTGAAAGTTGTGTACACATTGACCAGATCCCATAGCTGTCTCCCTCTGTGTCAGTTACTGTTCTCATCAACTATACCTTGTACTGCCAATGTCTATCTTTATCCTAGAGACCATGTTTTGCTCAACCAGTCCTGTAATATTTGACAATTTGGATTCAAAACAACACTTATAAATAAAAGTGAACATATAGCTCTTTCATAGAAGCAATTTTATTGATCTTGAATGTTCCTAAATGAGAAGAAAATGAGTGAAAACATCCATAGAATCCTGAATTTCAGAGGCATGGATACTCTTGCCTGGAATTACTTAGAGTAGGTAATTGCTCGACATTAGGTGTTTGTCAAGGAATCTGTTCATTTTAGCTGGTTAAACACTGGTTTACACTGGTTTACTTCCTGCCGCTATAAAATGACAGATTAGCTGGTATTATTTATAACTGCAGTACTGAAATATTCGACTCTTATTTCAGGCTAATTTCTCCCCCACATAGACCTGAAAGCATCTTTCATTTTAATGTAAATATGGTAAGGATCCTAGAAAGAGGGAAAGAAAATTGTATCTCAGAACCTAACTCATTCTTTGGTGCTTGTTTTGCTTTTTAACTTCAAGTGTGAGCAAGTCTGTGTCCCACTTACCGTTGAGGGGACTGATAACCCACTTGCTAGCTGTGTCTAGTGTCTGGTCAACAACACAGAAGGTAAAGGGAGACCCAAAGGAACGATCGTTGACGTAGATGAGGGTGGACGTCGTGCCGATGCAGATGATGCTGTTTTCAGCATGAATGACTGGGCAGTAGTCGTTGGCTTCCGGAACCTCAATACAAATGGTTCCCGTAGCTGTTTTTCCAGAGCCATCTGAAAAGGAGAGCATCGTGGGAGTTAGGGTGAACGTCAGGGAGAACGTGCTTTCCTGCATCCCAGGAGGAAGGCCCGGGACGCAGGGATAGTGTGATGGCGCGAGGCATGCTGGTACTGCAGTCCAGGGGTTCCTTTGAACCATGCTTCTTGTGCTCTGTCCCTCTCCCTAACATAGTGCTCATCGTCCGCTCATTCTGCTGATTTTGACACATGTGGAGATGGAAGGTTCACGGCTGTCTCTTCGTGTCCTGGGAAGTTGGATCCCAGAGGGCCGCAGCCTTGCGGTTCAGGAGGCAGCTGACCCGGTGCTTGGGAAGTGTTTGTAGCAATGGTTACAGCTGAAATAATGCATGCATAGTTTTATTTCTGTTTTCTTTGATTTGAACTGCAGCTTACTTCTCTCTGTAATGACACGTCTGGAAATATAGTTTCATTGCATTCTTTGTCCAATCTATTTTAAACAGGGTAGTTCTTGGTATAATTTATTAGAAAAGGCAACAGATAAGAATTAGGAGTCTGTGTACAGTCTGCTCTTTTACCTTGCATTGTGCTGTCGTGAATAAAGAATTGTTTTGTTTTTGCCAAGCAAGAAGCCTTAATTTTCTCATTTGAAAACTAAAACTAGATCATTTTTAGGGTACTGAACTAAGTCTTTTTCCAAGAAGCTTAATACACTTCTTTTAAAGATTGAAATTTTTGTTTTATTTATTTATTTATTTATTTATTTATTTCTTATTTATATTTGGGGTGTGTGTGTGTGTGTGTGTTTGTGTGTGTGCATGCCACAATATGTGTGGAGGTCAGAGGACAACTTGCAGGGATTTGTTCTCTCCTTAACCATGTGGGCTCCTGGTTGTGAACTTAAGTCATCAGGCTTGGTGGCAAGCATCTTTATTCACTGAGCCATCTCACTGCTCAAACGGTGGTTTTGTATACCTACATGATGAGAAGTCTAGGGCCTAGCTTTATCTTACGTGATTCTGTGCAGTTTACTGACACGCTTTATTCAGAATAGGACTTTTGGTCCCTCAGTAGAGACACATCAGACTGTTACATAGATGGTTGTATTTGTTATTCTTTGGTGCTCTTAGGTTGTCTCATGACTTGAGGTATGTTAATCAAAGCCCAAGTGGTTGCTTATAGACTTGTGCTCCAGTGCCTCTGCCTCCTCACCTGATGCCTGCATATCCTGGGTCAAAGAGAACCACCAGGATCTGTATGTCTCGGTGCTAGTGCAGACACAGTGTTAGGTGGATGGATCCTGAGCTGAATCTTCTCAGGTACATTTTGATAACACTTTCTTCATTCATATGCTGTGATTACCTTTTCCCTACCTTTTGCAGATACTCACATATGATCGAAACATAGGACATGATCAACATGGTTAGACTCTATTTTGGGAAAAAAGTGCTCCTAAAATGTTGACAATAATAGTGCTTATAACTGGCCCGGATGTTAAGAGACGCTTGGGATGAAGACTAGAATGTG